TCCAAGGGCCATCGAGGGGTCGAGTGAGTAAGTGAGTTTGTTTGGTTGGGGCCTCTGAAGAGGTGGGAACCCAGATTGTCGTTGTGCCCGGAGGGAGCGAGGCCGCGGCGGTTCACACACCTTTAACTACATAATTGACACTTCTGCTGGGAGAGACCATGACTGCTAAGCAGATTTCTTCAAAATATTTCCTGAGATTTTTCATCAGTAGCAAGACTCTGCTAGAGTAAATTAGCCAAGTGCAATTAATTACATATTTTCACAGTGATAAAATAATGAGGTCACAGTGAATTACTAAATATCTTCTAACCAATTTGGTCATCTCATGAACAGAATGTTCAAAATCATTTCTCGCATGGGCTTGAAATAGACTGTTGGCGCCACAACCACAATTACTGTCGCTAAAATCAAGATTGTGGGAAAGATATACAACAATTATATGAAATGTGTTTTTCTATGTCAAGAATGAACAGGATCATTAAGATCCGACCTGGAATTGAAGGTCCCAAACACATTGAGAGCCTTTGCTGCTGTGGGCTTCCATCCATAAACTATTAAACCTTCAGTGCTGTACAATCATTCTTCAGTGTTAAGACGCCCATGACTGAACTCATGAAGCCCATCCTCGGACCACAGTGCCAGCTCTTCATATCCCATCTGGGGGGAGTTTTTGGAGGTGATATCTAAACTCCGGCAGTTTACTTTATTTATTCAAACCTGGTTGTTTGGGTTTGGGGATTCTGTTGCTCCTGCTGTGAAGGAAATTGCTCTCTTGCCCGCTGGTTATTGAAAACGGAAAATGTCTTTAGAAAACTAACACGAAGCAAACCTAAACCCTTCTCTGTACTTGGGAAAGATGGTGGTTCCCATTGCTCAGTCGGGCCCGGCTAGCCGGAGCAAGTAGTAGCTGCTAGAGTGACGAGGTCATCACTTGTAGAGCTTTCAGGGTGTGTTGTTTTTACTCTTTACCTACAGAAGATTGGCAGGATATTGGTTTGGGAGATAACTTGTGTATTTCTCTTTGAACCTTAGATATTGTAGATGAAAGACAGAGACAAACTCACTAAAATATCTCCTCATAATCTGGAAGCCATGCCATTTAACTCGGGCACTGAATCCCTTATAGGATACCTGCTCCTACTCGTATCCCATGACCTTGACCTTCACACAGTCCATCGATGCGTGCACACGCACACTGCAATGAAAGTTCTACTGTCTGACATATAGCAGCGCGTTTGCACTCTGGAAACAATTACCAGCCAATAATCTTCACATTCTTTTCACCCCACCACAAGCTCAGCTGATTAGGATATCCACTGGTACGCAAGGCTAGCCTCGAGCATGCTAACACACACACACACACACACACACACACACACACACACACACTGTATTCACTGTACAGTACAGTAGGTGCACTCACTGCTTCTTTGGTTACTGACCAACCCTCTTATTTCTCTCTCTCACTCACACACACACACACACACACACATCTGACATTTGATTCCAGACTGATGATTAATGACCGTAGAAGTCCTTCAGCAGAGACCACCCAGGGTCAAAAGAACCTGCCGCATAAGCAGCCTAAATGCCATTCAGTCACCACTCTGCACTTCTGCATGCCCCAGAAGGTGCACAAGGTACTAGGTACTGTATAAACACCCTTCCTGTCTTCACAATCATTTGTATCATGTATGTGAAGAAAACGTAAGGAATTACTGTTCGAACACCTTTTCAAAATGCACATCCTGTTTTTCGTCTTCATTTTCTCTCTTTCTTCCCTTGTCTTTCCCCGGTACAGCAGACAGAAGATGTACCCAGGTTGTCCTCAAATTTAGCCCAGAGGCATTTTCCCAGGGTAGAAACACTGCCATCCTTTTTCTCCCTGTGCTGTCCCGCCTTTCCTCTTCATCAGTGTCAAATGATTACCCACAGGGATACCGAGCTCGACAAACAATGTGTCTCGAGTTAACTGTGGGAGAGACGGGCCAAAAATATCTTCTGCTCCCTCTATCCATCAATCCGTCCAACTGCCCTCCCCTCTCATGCCCTCCTATCACACCACCCACACTCTCCGCCCCTGTGCCAGCCCTGGGTGGTGGCAGAGCCCTGGGCTCATCTCGGAGGATCAAGTTTGATCTCCGCAGCGTGTGGAAAAACTAAAACTCTCTCCTCCCTCTATCATTCCTTCCTCTTCTCACGTCTTTTAAGCCTTTTTCCTCCCTTTTCTTCACGTTTGCCGCTCTCCGTGCCACCTTTCTCTTCTTCGCTCTACTTCACCGCGCCGCGTAGGCACAGCCTGGTGAATGCCAGGCATTCCTTTGTAAGGTTAGAACAGACAAAGGTGGACCACATCACCTGAGAGAAAAACGGCCCCCCTCTTGAATTGTCGCCCGAGGGAAAGAGAGGCCGTTAGTGAAGAAAAGAGGGAGTACAAAAGCAGCGGGGAAAACCGAATGATGGGAGAGAGGAACACCTGTCCTCTGCTGTCCTTGCGTAAACCTTCAAGGCTGACCTTTGTTACATGATATAGACGCCTTGTTTGAATAAAAGGGGCTTAACTCAATAACCAAGCTACAATACTTGGAGAGACTCAGAGGGTAAACAAAATCCAGAAAGCTAATTGCAATCCCGCTCGAAAACACAAACAATTCCACCTTTCAACACACTCCGACCATTCACACAACCCACTCAATCAACACGCATGCTCAATGAACTCACCCCACCTAAACACACCACCTTTGAGTAGAACAGACCCCCATACGTTAACACAAAGTGGGGTTTATGTCTGGGGGCGCTGGGTGTGGTGCAGGGTGGAGTAGATCTGTGTCGCCAACCGACCCTTCACGGCTTATTTCTGGGCTTCTGACGAACACCAAGGGCAAAGCAGGTCTGTGTGATGCAACGCAACGGTTTTCCAGTCACCTAATGGCCGCTGTTTGTTTTTACTCATGCTAATGGAACGGAGCGAAGGGGAAAAGCGGAGTGAAAATAGAGCAACTTATGACGACCAGGTGTTTTTTCCCTCAACTCGGGAATGTTTCACCTTGTAAAAGCAATCGCGTGGGAGGGGACTTGTGTACCGGGCTGAAGTGACTGGTTCGGGGATTTTCTTAAGGGGTGTGTGCCGACCAAAATGTAGTGAGAATGAATGTTGTGTGTGAGCATCTGAGGGTTAACTGAGATTTTGTCAGGAGCCAGATGCTACTTGAGTGGAACTGTAGCACAGCACTGACAGGAAGTGGCTTTTCCACCCGACTATTTTTCTTTCATTGAGCAACAAAAAGCAAGAAACACAAAAGATGTGTTAGGGTGTGGGGTCTACAACGCACGCGTGGTCACGCACAAACACGCACCTGGGGGATGAATGAATGGGAGGCCCTTACTACCACACAGGGATCCTATTGATGACATCATTGCTGGGCATCTGGTCACTCCACCCTTTCCATGTTTCAGAGAGCCATTCAGGCAGCTTCAACTGCACCATGGCTCTTTCACAGACGTGACGCCGATTGCTTATTTTCTAGTGATTATACAATTTAGCCGGCTCCACTCACGGACAACGTACTTTTCTGATAGCACAGTCAACAACCGGTCAGTTTATGCTCTTCCATCAGGGCACAGTCATCTGTGGATTGACAGAATACGCCATTGCACGTTTAATCACTTTGCCATCTCAATATTGATGGAATTTTCCAAAAGTTGGCTGGTCCCATTTAATATAAAATACATTATCCAAATATGTCCTTGTTGAGACGTTGCCTGTAGTTCTCATGCAAGGAAAGCCCGAGTTCCCCGTTGCTTGGGTGGTAGTGGTCAGAAAATGACATAGTCTCGGGACGCTTATTACTCTCCATGAGTAAAACATGAATGAGAAAAGTGCAGCAGGAAGGGCAGCTTTTGGTAAATAGATGTTTAAGCTGTGATTCGAGTAATGAATGAGAAGATGCTGCTAAAATAACTTTTAATAAATCAGTACCAACTGGCACGAGATGATGTTGAATAAACCCACCAAAATCTTGGACAGATGTCGGAAACGGCCTTTTTAAAAATTCTCTCCCTCCTCTCTCTCGTTTCAAGATCCACTTGGAATCACAATCTCGATTTGATCTCTAAGTCAGCCACTGGCTTAGTCCCAGTAGGTCTTTCAGTAAAAGGCTGGGCCAGCTTTCCAATCGCAAGCACGGAGCAGCTTTCTTTCCAAGGTCCACTACCAAAGCAAAGGGCCAGCTAACACTGTGCCAATTAAACACTGAATGCTAAACCTGTACTGGTCGTACGGCCCTTCTGTTGGGAGTCACCTGGAGGACGATAAGGAACCCCTACAGGTTATTAGCTAACGTCCAAACCACCATTTCCAACCATCCATGTTGATGAGAGTTTGTGCATTTTTCCCTGCAAATACTTGGCAGGATTTAAATGTAAGGTCTATTTGATGCTTGTAATACATCTTGTAGCAATGAATGGACGGGCTGTAACAGCGACATGTGAACCGATGTAATTTACTGTTTTGGTGATTAACCCCAAGAGAGTGCTATCATGTAACGATTGTACAGAAACAGCAGCAGATTTTAGGCAACAACACAATGCCCTTTTGTGTATTACACTTATCCAGTGTTGTGTCTTGCATTGAGAGATTATTGGAGCTACAGCGCAAGTAAGGAGAAACTTAAGGGTTTAAGGATTATAATCTCCGACATGTTTAACGCCAATAGCTACATGTTTGATCTGATGAACGTATTTCAGTCTTTTTCGGAGCAAAGGAGCAGGGGACATTTTTATGAAAGGTACGTTTTGAAAGGAGAGGAAAGTTGAGGGAGAGGGGAGAAAGGGGGGGGGGGGGGAGGGGGGGACCATGAGCGAGAGAAGCCTCTGGAATCCTCTGTTCTCTCGTCCCGTTTGCCTTCTCTTCCCTCCACTTCATCCTAACCCCCAGCCCTCTCTGCGCGGCCGACACCCCACCCCATCCTGCTCCCTCCCCTCCCTCGTCAATGCAGCCCGCCACAGACACTTGCTTTTTGTACGAAGAGGTTCAACCCAATGAACAATCCTGTCTGTAGTTCCCAAAATAAGCCAGTGGGAGAGGGATCGCAGAGTAACCCAGGGAGATTTGGAGCAGCGAGGTGCACAGCCACCTGGGTATAAGTTCTGGGAGCGCTGCTGGACCCCACAGCCTCTAGCTCAATGTACGTCGACTGCCCGACTGCCTGCCTAACTGACTGAGTCTCACTCCACTGTTACTCGCTCTCTCTCCCTCTCCTGTCCTGCTCCCTCGCTCCTTCCCTCCTACTTTCCACCCTGGACAGGGGGAGCGCACGGATTGGGAAGGTGTTCCTCAGACCTGTGTCTGGACAGCTTGAAGACGACACGGAGGATTTTTTTCCCCTTCTCTAATTGCTCATCCTCCCTCTCAATTAGACCATCTCTGGCAAGTAGCTCGTGGATGGACTGTTTTTTCTTCTTTTCATTAAGAGTTAAATAAAAGCCAAATAGACACTTTTCTCTACCTGCATTTGAAAAACTCCAATTTTTAAAACTTCTTGGAGTTGTTTTTCATTGGACCGACTCTCTGCCCAGGATTCATTGAATATCTGATGCCATTGCATCCCATGGGAGCCCTGCGTGGCTGAAGCAAGGAGGGAGGTTGAAGAGAGACCCACCTGAAGCTCACACCTACCGCTGCCCTTACCCAGTGCTCAACGCCCCCCGAGGAGAGAAAGGTAAGCCCTACCTGCCCTCCTGTTCCTCTGGTGCTCTGTCAGCATCCTCGTGTCCTGTTGCCTCTTCTTTTCACTTTTGCTACATGTGGCTGCAGTGGTTGAGGCCAAAAGAAACCAGAGGAGAGAACCGGAAAGGGGAAAAAATAAAAATAAAAAACAGACGGTGCAATATCTTTGTCATGGGACTTGCTTAATTCTCCTCAGTCTTAAGCTAGTGCTCAGAGTAACAGCTTGCAGATTACAAATAACCCACCCGAGTCCCATCCATTTAGAAAACGTGTATCAAATAAGAAGAATTACATTTCAATAATATTAAAGGCGTAGCTGTTCTCTCTTTATGTACTTTGAGTGTCCCCTGACTTTCTCTGTCGTCAAAGCGGGACTTTTTCTGTGAGTCTTTGCCCGAATGGTGTGTATGGTATTTATTATTGATGATATCCATGATATTGTTGATGCATCCATACCTGCTGTACATATATCTGATGCTTATGCTTATGATGTTGCAGTGGGCGTGGTGTGATACCGGAGTGTGACTGTGGGATAATGTACAGTACAGTGGGTTTGGCTCAAATATACTATATCTAAATATACTGTTAAGTGGGGTGTCCTCCATAGCTGCCACTAATATAACACTTTCTTTCAATATCGACTGCTGCTTTTTCTTTTTTTATAGTTCTGTATATTATCCTGAAAGATTCTATTTTGAGTGGAATGAACTGAAGTGATCGTTTTTCTCCTCCCTTTCTCGTCTCCTCTCTTCGTCCCCCTTTTCGCCTTTTGCACTGCTTGTGCATCCACTGTGACGCCTCTGGCAAGCGACGCCGCATTCCACTGTAACGACATCCCTCCGTCGCGCACAGAAAGAGGACGGACAGCCGTGACTCTCAAGTCCCCAGGTGTCCCGCATGACGGGCTAACAGAGATAGAAGTTGAGCTGAGCAAAAAGTGGTTTGCAAGCGCAGGAGGAACGCATTAGTGAACATGTGCTAAAATGCATGTTTTGCTGAGAAGATGAGATTCAAGCTGTCATGGCGAAAGAAGCAGGCAGACACAGAGAAGGAAATAGAGAGCGAGAGGTGTAGAGTGAGGGTATGAAAAAGACAGAAGAGGGAGTCTGGAAAAAACAGCTTGCTGGAGTTCTGAGCTCCAAAAGCATTTGGCAGCATCGTCTCTTTCGCTGGCTTACGGCAAGAAGACTCAACTGGATATACCTGTGTGTGTGTGTGTGCGTGTGCGCGTTGGTGCACGTGCAGCCACATGCGCGTACGCCCCTAAGCGATTGCATCAGTGTGAGGATCAAAACACGTGTGACCATCCTTCAAGGGCAGCGGAACGAGTCGATCTACAAAGCTGCTGCGGCGCGCTTAGCAGCGCCCGCGCGCCACCGTTCAAAGCAGCGTTTGCTCATAAAGTTTGGGGCCTCTCTAATTGACTCAGTTGTTTCCCGTCAGCTCTGCACCTTTTCTTTGTTTATTAAATAAAGTACCTCTGTTTCAGGGGATTTAAGCACCTCTCTTCGTGGCCTGCCTCTTGGCATTTGTTGCCATGCCTGGCATATATATGATGGCGACGTTGTGCTGTAACCAAGGCAACCCCATGCCGCTGACTGGGACTCTCTGTTCTCCAGTGGATGGCAACCGGTCACTCGCTTTGTCACTGGTGGCTACGAGCGGTGGAAGTGTGTTTGTGCGTGCAGAACACTATTTAACCACAAGCAGCAGCCACCCGGTCGGGCTTATGACACAACGAGACCGGCCGTGCACAGTGGCACACACAGCCTACTTTATGGCCTGGGCAATACAAACAACTTCATGGATTCACGCACACACACACACACACACACATTCCAAAGAGATGAACATGCTCTCACAGCTAAACTGCCTGTTCGTGTGGAGCAGAGACTCTCCACTGCTGTTGCTTTAAAGGCCAGAAGATGTTGAACTACATTTGAGGCTCTAAACTCGACAACAGTTCTCTCTTTTTTTTTATTGAATCTTTGAGCGTGATTTTTTCTCTGATGTCAAGGTGAAATAATAAGGTATCTTTGGGGAGATTTGCCCCTCATTGTGGCAGTACAAGGGAGAGACAGAGAGATATTCAAGGCTCAGGTCAGTGTTTGCCACTCTCTTTTGTTTCTCACTCTTCTTTGGCTTGTAATAGTCTACACTTTGATGCCACAAGAGGGCAGAACACCAGGCCGTTCACTGACACACACACACACACACACATCTTGTAATGAAAAGAAAACCTGTTGCAGACTTATCAGCTGCAGTAAACAGTACATCTGAATGAAATCATCTCATAACACCAATATTATTCAGGATAGTTTCTGATTCCTCTTTCAGTCTTAATCTACAGATTTGGTAACTTTTGCGTGTGGTCTTCTTTAATAACAAACAAAAAATCCCAAAAGATTCATCCGTCACTTGCATGTGTATGATTCTTCTCTGAATTGTTCTCCATATAGGTTTCCAGTGTGTTTTTGTATATTCTTATGTGTGTGTGTGTGTGTGGATGCTTGAGTGCACATGTGCTTCTCTTACACTGATGTCTGATGCCCGTGTTCGCAGGAAATGAAGGTGAATGCCACTCATTCTCAAGGAAAAGTAAACGCCCACTTATTCCTCCACATCCTTTCGAACTCAAACACCTTCAGATCACACACACACACACACACACACACACACACACACACACTAATTTCTCATGCTTTGACTTAAAGGGGAACGAGTGTGAGAGGGCACTCCTTTAATGCTTTCAACAACAAGAGTGTGTTTTCTTTTCAGCCGGAAGACTTGTAATTACGGCCGGGTACAGTGCCGGGTACAGTGCCGGGTACACTGCTGGGTACAGTGCAAGCGCCGGTCCTAATCAGAGCCCGAACCATTAGATTTGAGATTGATAGGCTGCATTCGTTTTTTCAGGGCGAACGGGGCAGAAGAAAAACACGTATTGCCGCGTGCAGATGCACGGAGATTTGGATGTCGTCTCCCTTTTTCTTCATTTTGCCTCATGTGTTTATACTCTCTGAGCTTGATAGCACATCGCCAGTAGCCAAACTGGCCCGGACACGCAGCTGATATATGTGGAAGTTAGTCTGCTGTAGGGCAGATAATGAACCTGCACAAACATACAGCACCCCCAGAGAGGATGGCGCAGCAGGTTATTAATCAGCCGCTTGCATTGAAGGAAATAGTTCTGGCCCTCAGCCTGGTACGAGCCCTGAAGAACAGCAGGGTACGGTAAAAGGAGGAGGGGGAAAACTAAAAAAAAACAGTAGAAAATGTTCTATTATTCTCACTCTATAATTCAATTTTTGCACCGGCACGTTGTTTTTACTTTCCTCTCGCTGTCACTCACTCATTCATTTGTCTGTCTCCTTTTATCGGTGTTTATCCTTCCCCCACTTGCTCTTTTGTTCTCTTCTAACGGCGTCTGGACCAGAGGGATTCTTTCCACAGTGCTGGCAGCAGCAGTGGGACAGTGAAAGAGAGACAGGGAGAGCAAGCAATGGGGAGACTTGGCGGACGCCCCTTGTTATTTTTCCTCCACCTCCCATTGACTCCGTCGGCAATGGCCCGGTCCAAGCACGGCCTCTGAGCTCAGAGGGGCCAGGCAACATGCCCTCTTCAGCTCTCACAGGGCAGCGTTTTTCATGCGATTTCATTTCGCAAAGAACGGAGTAAATCCAAGCGACAGATTACTTTCAGGACATTGTCTCCAGCTCACCGTGTTTTCATTCTTTTGACCACCACTCGTACTTGGACCCCAATTCAAAAAAATTCTTCTTTCTTCTGGACTTTGTCCAATTGTAAAATACTTACTCTTCATCTTAAACTGAAGAATCCTGAACAGGGCGCATCAGCAGTGTCTTGAATAATACACATATTGAGCAATGACTCCCATCTATGTCACATCTATGTTTTTCCAACAGGAGCTTTTTAGGGGCGTCTCGTTGATAATTAAACCGGAACCAACAGGTAGGAGAGCCTCAGCGCTCGTCTAGCTACAGGGCTGAAATGGGATGTGACATCTCGGGTTCTGCCACTGAGGCTGAGGAGTTTTCTCCTTTTCTGTGTGTGACCTCCCCACTAATCAGTCTCAAAGTCAAATCCATAACACAGGGCGAAACCAAACGAAGGTGGTTTGATGTTTGGTTGGTTTAGGTAGTGTTGCACTGGACCATGAATATACAGAACAGTCCTTTCCCCCCCTCTCTTTCTACCCTAATTCATTGCACCTCAGCTAACCGTCTGGCAAGAATTATGTTTAGCAGGACGTTTGGTCCAACTCTTAACAGCGGTCAACTCCTCAATATAAAACTCAAACATATCACCCTTTTCATCTTGTGGCAGATGTACTTCCCAAGCAGACTGTTTATTTTTATTATTTCGCTCCAGATGCAGGATGGATACATCTCTTACTGATGGGTGAATATTGAGTGGAAGAGGTTGGAAACAGCTCTTCTGAGACCATTTCAGTGGCTCCAGACTCTGTTGTTGTTCAGGCTGAGCTTGATCCACACGTGTGCATTTCGTTGCTCGTTGGCCTTCCTGTTGGTTTGGTTCTCTCAAAGAAAATAAATTCCTTTTTATTTCAAAGCGCCAGATTCTGAGGAGTAGGTAATGGATGCTTAGACAAAGCTAGCAGCTCCTCGCCTCCTCTCCCTAGTTTGCTACATGCAGGATGCAGGTTGTCTGAGACTTTATCTTTAAATGTCCGTGGTTTAGAGACCTAATCCCTTCTCAACGGACTTTGAGCCCATTGGGCAACGTGTGCTTCGTAATGGAACGCTGAGAAGATTTAGACAGAGTACAACACAACCGGCCCTTCAAAGCTTCTCATTTTCGTAATCAGCAGCAAAGCCCCGAAACGATAAAAATGAAAAGGCCGCTTTGTGCTCATCACAGCTCGTTTGAGGCGAGCGCTGCGTGAGCGATGCTTTACCGAGTGCGTTGGACGTTGCGTGTGTACGTCTTAACGACAGTTCTCTTGTTTCT